TATTTTCTTATACAACGAGCCCTGTTTCCCTTGGGGTTGGTTGTGATGTTACTCGCTAGCGCTTTGACGCTCGTTGTCCCTCCCCCTTTCAGGTCACGAGCCAGGAGTACGGAGAGCCGCAGGTTGATAGCGGACCACATTAGTGTTCAGCTTTACTTCCTAGCCATGTATTATTTTCTTTGGTCTCCACTGTAGTGAGGTTAGACATTTGAGGGTATTATTCTAGAAGTTGTAAAGGCTGTGAGCCTTATTTCCTTATTGTCAGATATTTGTATTTGAGACTTGTTGAGTATTTCAGTTTATCTACTCAGATCTTGACTATGTACTTCTATGTTGTTGGATGATGAGATATTTATGTGACTATTATCATTTCATCAGTATTCCTCGTAATGTCTTTTACCTGTTTTGTACCTACACCAGTTGTTGACTCTACTAGATAGATGTTAATTGTGATGGTGAAACATGTTATTGCACGGTGTGGTGCATAGCAGGTTTGACATTCTTGGTTTCACCTCGGACTGCAGCCTTGTGTGAACCCAGGGGCGTCACAGATAACAAGAGATGGAGGGAGGATAGTTGGAAGCCCAAACTTCAGTAGATAATCTCCTCAAGCTCTTGTGGAATTTGATTCATAAAACCAAAATACTCAAATGCTTAAAAGCTTATAAACACACTTTAAACAAACTTAAACCCTTGATTAAAACTTTCTTAAACTTATTTTAAAACTCTCTTATAGTTAGGTGGAGAGCTGAAGGCAATGGGGTATTTATACCCTCTCAAAACTTCAGCAAAACCCCAGCCAAAAAGACAAAAACAGCCCCAGCAAACAGCTCAGGAAATAGCCGTTGGAAAAGCAACGGATCTATTGTCGGTCGACCGGAAATTCTGTCGGTCGACCGATGGAGAGCAAAAACACAAAGAATGGCTCTGGACGATCGTCGGTCGACCGGTGCGGTCGACCGATGAAAACTTTCGGTCGACCGACGGAAATTTCGGTCGACCGAAAATATCAAATAAATTTCAAAAAATGTAAAACTTTAGGAAATGATTGTAGACATGATAATAAACATGCTACAGCGACTGGTTTTCAGAAAGGACCTCCCAAATGAAAAATATCATCATTTTGCAAAATAGTCCAAAACACAAAAATGTAAACATGTGAATTTTGACATTTTGGCTAAACCAACTTTTGATGTGAAAACTCATCTGTTTTGTAAAACATGCACGAACATATGCACGAACGAAAACATGATTTTGTAAATTTCATTAAACATAACAAATTAATTCTAAACTTGATGAAACTTTGCGAAATGTTTGTAAACATGAAAACAAACATGTTAGAAAAAGAATTTCTCAAATTGAATTTCTATTTGTGAAAACTCATGTATTTTGCAAGTGTGTCCAAAGCATGAAAACTCAAAACCATGCATGTATATATATAACTATATATATACATAGAAACCAAAATACGTGTGTGTATATGATGTTGAGCTTAAGGTACTTAACACACATAATATAAAACCTAAACTAGATTACCCAAACTTGATCTTAATCTTCATTGTAGCTCAACTTGGTACATATGCGGATGAAGCTTGAACTTGATCTTTAACTTTGAATTGCAAGGCTTCACTCCACTATTCCGCCAACCTCCATTTGATATCGTCGTTGAAGCTCTATTCCATCAATCCTCCAACCACGTTGTTTGTCTATAAAACATAGGAATGCACAAACACTAGACAAACAACGTTAGTAATAAATTGTTTGTTAAACATCATCAAAACAAGAAGGCCAACAAGGACATGCTTTATAACCGTGTACAGAATAACCTGATAGCATTCCATATGCAGGAAAGTCATTAATTGTCCACATTAAGGCTGCACGCATTGTGAATGTTTCCCCTTTGTCTGCATCATATGTCTCTACACCATCAACGACTAAAGACTGTAACTCATCGATGAGAGGTCGAATACATTAAATGATACTAACCCGTCGATAAGAAGAGGCATCAGAAAGTATGATTGATCCATCGCTAACCATGGTGAAAGATTATATATCATCATTATAATAGGCCATGAACTGTGCGGATTGCTATTAAAACTAAAGGGGCAAAAACCATCGCTAGCTAATCCAAGCCTAATATTACGGGGATCTTGACTAAATATTGTGTGCAACTTGTCGAAATCCTTCCATGCTGGCGAATCTCTTGGATGACTCATTTTACCATGTTCACTTGGAATAGCACGGTCATGCCAAGTCATTGCCACCGCTGTCTTCTTACACCTGTAGAGCCTCTGCAGCCTCTGTGTCACAGGAGAGTATCGTACCACCTTGACTGGTATGTCATTCTTGTTAGCATGTGCTTTCTTCTTATATCTAGAAACTCCACAGTTGGAATTTTCTTTCCAGAACAGCACACAATCATTAGGACATGCATGAATCTTCTCACAATTCAAACCCAGATCTGACATTATCCTTTTAGCTTCATACCAGCTCTGAGGCACATTGTTCCCCAGAGGCATAGAATCTTTCAGGAATTTTAGAAGCATCGTAAATGACTTGTTGCTCCATTTATTTAGGCATTTAATCTGGAAAAGTTGAACGAACCATGATAGTGTGGAATATTTTGCATTCTCATAAATTGGTCTTTTGGCATCTTTCATGTACTTCTCATACTCATCTACATGTTCTTGTCCGGAAGGATGATCATCTTCAGCAAGATTAGAGTCACCAAAAGCAACTTCTATCATTTCCTCCATCTCCTCTTTTGGAAATAAATTTTCTTCATTGTCTTCTTCTTCATTATCGGCAATATTAGAAGCTACGATTTCTCCGTGATATACCCAAATTGTATAATCCTTAATAAAACCATGCTTAACAATGTGAAGAAATTGTATAATCCTTAATAAAACCATGCTTAACAATGTGAAGTTCTACATCTTCCTCCTTACGATGCAGCCTATTCCCACAATGACTGCACGGAACAATGTGAAGTTCTACATCTTCCTCCTTACGATGCAGCCTATTCCCACAATGACTGCACGGACAAAGAGTCATCCCATATTGGATCCTATCATGTTCACGCATAAAATTTATGAAAGAGGCAACTCCTTCAATGAATTCAGGCTTTGTGCGTTTTTCACGATTCACATACATCCAATCCTTAACTTTGATATAGTCACGTGCCATACCAACCTAAATTAGTCAAAGTTAGCGATAAAATTTCTTAGAAAGTAAATTCAGCACATTAAAAATGTGGCACGATCAAAATAAAGATAAACAAGTTTCAAAAAAGTAAATTGTACAATTTAGCTTAGCAAGACTTTGCAAAGCACAAAGACCAGGTTAATTTAATTTACAATGGATTGCAACCGGTAAATATCATTCATAAAATGCAATACCAATTCATAATGACTAAATATGTAAAACTGACAATTCTTCACACTACAACTAAGCAATAAGCATACTAAGTAGAGATGTCCTTGTTTAGCTCAAGAAACATGAAGAATGTCAGATAGGGATACTAAGTAGAGATGTCCTTGTTTAGCTAATATCAATATGCTTTCTCAATATCAAGATGCTTTCTCAAGATGAAAGATGACAAAGCAGACACTACGTAATAAAGGGACCAGATTCCCTTGTCGACTCAGGCACAAAGCATTTGATTAAGGAAATAAAAATTCAACTAAAAGACACAATAGTTAGCAGGAAATTATATTAACAAAATAGAATATTTCACTTTCTAAATCCTCTCATGGCTATCTGGAGAAAGCCAGGATTTGGCATTTCCTTTGTAACATGTGTACAGACAACAAAGATATCAGTTTGAGGTCAAAACCAAATCCAAAGCCTTAGTAGTTATTCATTCAATAAGTAAATTGTAGATAAAAGACTGATTATGCTATCGGAGGTGGCGATCTTCGAGCGGCGGTGGCGATCTTCAAGCGGCGGTGGCGGCGATCTTCGAGCGGCGACAGAGATTTTTTTTTTTGATGAGGAGGGGGAACGCAGAGACGAGGGGGAACACAGAGAAGAGAATTGAATTTGGGGGTTTTTACCTTTTTTTCTTTTTTTTTGGTAAAAAAGAGGGGGGAAAACTCCCGCTATGTGAAAATACCAGCCCCAACGGTTGGAACCGTAGGGGCTGATGCGTTCCAACCAACTGTTGGGGCAGTTGGCTTTTGTACTAGTGGGGGGGGGGGGAGTTATGTCACTGTATTTTTTATATTCTATTGGGAAATGAGTGAATGGAACACGATGAGATATTAGTGAATTGCGATAAGATCGTGCCTAGCACGAGCTAAAAGACTAGTTTAATGTAGACGGGCTAAAAACAAAATCTATTAGAACTAGAAGTTAACAAGATATTTTCCTATTTTCGTCTTCTTCACTTGTTTCTCTTGAACGAAGCCAGTAAGTTTTTCTTTTTCTTTTAATATTAAATAAAATTGCAAAAAAATTAAAGACTGACCTTTAGGAACATTGTGATCTTCTCCTTCCTCCCTCTATTCTCAGAATCTCTCTTCTTGTGTGAGAGGAAACTCAAGAATGAGCTGAATTTATAAAGGTTTAAAGTTGTTTATTTTTTACTTTTATAACATATATTCACACATTATTGAAGTAAGAATCACTTTTTTTCATAGTGAAACACTTTTTTTTGTAGGTGTACTAGCAAATTCAATTTTAAATTTTGAATTTGCTTCTGAAGATGCTTTACAGCTTGTCTTGGTCTGGGGAGAGTTAATCAAAATTTGATTACCAATAATCTCTAGGTGTAGCTCAGGGATTGACGGTCACCGGTTGTTACTTGTGAGGCTACATCCTGGTCGAGTTTGGCTTAATTGACATATGCATGAGCAGATTTGCCAATGGTTACCAGGATGATGATTGTTCACGTAACGTGTGGGCTATTTACAATCATGAAGGAGATTAGGACGCGTGTCTCACTATCGATTCTAAATTAGAGTAATTAGGATAAAGTATTTGCCTACTCAAATACTGTATCAGTGCAATCACTAGTATCGTGTATTTGTGCAATCAGATTACATCATTGTGAATTTCTGACAGTCGCTTCTGTCTAGTCTGCTGCTACAGAGAACATGCCAACAATGGCCGAAATGATCCGTATGTAACCTGACAAAGGACAAAACATCAATAATAACAATTTCGTGTTATGCTCCTCAATAGAAACTGTCACTTTGTTGATATCAGATTTCTTGAATGCCTGAAAGCCTGAGGTTTCGTAAGAACATCGCCCGAACTACTATTGCAATACGCAGTGAATCCAAAGTTGAGGATCCACCACTTTGAAGCCCAGTCTTCAAATACTCTTCTGCAAGTTCCATTGAGGTTTCTCAAACTTCTACCGACTGAGCTTTTCTGATGGCAAAACATGTCTCACGCATACAAGATCATCCAATTTGTTTCCATCCATCTTATACATAGAAACCCCACCTAATTGAAAATAGTGTTCCCGTGCTTCTCTCCTTAGGCTCTCAAAAGGCACAACTTCCCACTTGCTATAGTTGGAATGTTTTCTAGTATCACTCATGTCCGGAGATCCTGAGATTTGTTCGCTGCTGTCTGGATCCACTGTACCCCATACTTTACAACTAACATAGGGCCCCGAATCATTTATTTCCCCAGATGAGGCTTTCTTAACACGGAGAGCAGCACTGTGAGCATTCTTGATGTCTTCCTTGCTTGGAACGTCGGACCAATCTTGTTTTCTTTCAGATCTCATCGGAGAATGGATCCTAATAACCTATAGTAGAAATTTTAAATGAAATATCAGAATGATTCAGAATTTTGTCGTAAGTGACAAAGATGCGGAGATATCTTACACCAAGGCACTCTAGAAGCTGATAATATGCTCTTCCTTGCAACGGATTGTGTCCTTTCCTTGGGGTGGAGAAGTAACGCGTCCTGTATGGAAATAAGCTGATCATCAGGATTCAGGAAATTATTGTCATGAGTTTATTCGAATCGAATTTGATAGCTTACAATTTGTACATATGCAACTAGAGGATGTCATCAATAGAAGAGGGATATGTTTCTATTTTGTCATACTTCTTGTTCTTCTCAATACCATAACTTGGTCAAGGGAAAATATTTTTTCCAGAGTTCACACCAGAGATTTGGCTTACAAGTAAGCATTCCAGAACAAATAAGCTTCTCCAGTAAAATTACATAAGTGGCATTCTTAATTTAATCACTCAACTGATAAGACTTGCCTAAATCTCACTACATGCATCATGTGTCCTCAAACAACATTCAATGATGATAGAAGTGAAAAGCTATATGCTTGAAAATCACAAAAAGCTAAAAAAAAAAATTAAAATAATTGACCCTCTAAAATTATTTCATTTATCTTAAAAGATACAATGAGGAGATTTAACAAGTTTGATCATGTGTTGGCTCAGTAACCATAAGAACAGCCTGTGATAGATTAAGTGGAAACTTGATACGCTACCGGGATAAAGAATCGAAGATGGACATCATAAATTTGCACACGTAAACATATTTATCCTTCAAAATAGACATTTGTAACAATTTCCATATGATATAGAAATCAGGTTCTACAAATAAGGTACACAAAAGTTAAACCAAGCATGAGAGATAGATGTTGAGTTAAACTAACCATTCTGTGTAGCCAGGATCTACAGTAAAACCATAAATGTCCACAATGTCACACATTGAAAGGGCTAGCTCTATAGACTTCATTCCAGTTCCTTTGGCTCCACGTCGAAGAACAATACCTTGGAATAAATATACAGGGTTTGGAAGTTCCTGCACAGTCACATACTGTGAGAGAATACCCTATACACAAGCTATTCCATGCATAAGTCACTATAAACATTTTATTACCAGAATAATGTATTGAGAAGAAAAGTTCCCACTACATTCACAAAACGATGAAATTGTTAGATGTTTTACCTTTATCATTGCATTAAAATCTTTATGGGTCACACTTTTAATTATGAGCACCTCATCATCTGCAATGAATATATTACTGAATTCAGTGGTCTAATATTTCTTAACAGGTGCTAGAACTGAAGAAAATTATATTCTTGCCATCAAGAACTTGAGAAAGCAATATGTCAGTGTTTTAGATTAATGTACATCATTTCAATCCCACGATTTACATACATATATAGCTCAAATACACCCATTGCATGTTAAAGAGAAGGTCTTTATTCTAATAGACAACAGACAAAAAGTTTATTCTAAAAAGAGTTGCACAAGTTAGCTTTTGGATTTAGATCAGTTACGCAAGTTCGCTTTTGGAGTTAGATCAATCTGTGTCATCAGGCACTCAGCAGCAGTTTACTATGACTCCAACCTAACAACGGTATAGTTAGTAGGAATTTCCATTAATGAAGGATGGGCCTCACATTCAAATTGTTGCTTGCGCAAAACATGATAATAAAGAAGTTTTAAATTGTGTTTCAATTTTTTAGATGTTTCAACTTTATCATAGCATTGAAAAACCTCTAAGTCACATTTTTAACTATGAGCGCCTCATCAGCTGCGATGAATATGTTATATAATTCATTGGTCTAGAAATTCTTACCTGGTGCAGAAACTGAAGGAAATTATGCCTTAGTCATCAAGAACTTGAGAAAGCATAATGTGAGCATTTTAAATCAATGTATATCCATTAACCCCAGATTTGCATACATATTTAGCTGGTCAATATCTGTAGGACATTTAATAACAGGTTTGCAAACTAGAAAACAACAGATAAAAAGGATTATTCAGGAAACAATCACAAAAAGACAGATTTTGGATTTAGAGCATTCTGTATTCATTAAATCACACCAACTTATCAACAATATGGACCATATTCGCTCCCCATTCAGTACACGAAGGGTTTTCATGCATCAAATTGTTGCTTAGGGAAAATATGCATCTCCTCTATATCATGACAGCACATAGTTGCAAATTAGTGCGATTTAATGCAGCGCAGCGATATGAGAAGAAACCTCTGGTTCTGGTAGCTATGGGAGGTCCTGAAAATTAGTAATGTCATTCTGAATATAGTCTGCCACATATCCTAGCAACCATTCTGATTATGCAACTGAACATCAAAAAGACCTCAACTTATAAAGTAATGCAAGCTAGTTGGTGTTCTGCCTTTTAAATTGACAATTCTCCAGTCTTGAAAAGTACATTCAGGAATAAGAATAAGTTGGGGTTGTCAAATGGGTGGTTTTGGGTGAGTCATAAATGGTTGGGCACATTTGTGTCTATTTGCTCATTTGTGACTCATTCAGCATTTGTTAAATGGGTCACTTCTCACCCACCCATTTATTAAATGGGTGGTTTATTGGTGACCCACTAAGTTGCATGGAAACGGGCACGGGTACTGGTACGGGTGCGGGTACGGGTAGGGGACACGACAAAACTGTAAAATGTTGGGTACGGGGACATGACTACATATATATATTGAATTAATAATGTACATGAGATAATTTTTTCTGCTTCATGTGTCATTAGAATTAAAATTTCGATCATATTTTTGAGTTTATTTTATCATATTGATTATCGTGAATTGTAAACTACTCATTTTTTACTAGACATCTAAACGACCCATTAACTATATAGCTTTGAACTTGGGTATGGACTGAAACGAACCCGACCTGTATCCCATTAGTTTCAAAAAATGGATGTGAAGTGTAAGCTCTACGTCCAGGAAGTCTTTGACAAATGTTTTAAATTAACACATATATCGTATAATTGAGTATATGTTGTAATAAATGCATGCATATATTCAAGAAGTGTCCACGAAGTTTGGGTACGGGAAAGTATCGGGTACGTGTCCAGTACGGGTACGGCTTCAATAATGAAGTACCCGGGTAACATAGGTGACCCAATAACTCATTTAGCTATTGGACTTTTATATATAAAAAAGTTTTAGGGGTCTATTTTTTAAACTTACAAATGATACATGAAATCTAAAAATTTTCAACAACCCCCTATAAATTTAAAATTCACAAATAATACCCTCAAAGTTTTAGAAAATGAGAAAAATGCTCTTAGGCGTTTAGAATTATAAAAACAACCCTAAAATTTCAAAACCTAACTAAGGTACATGAAATTCAAAAATTATCAGCAACCCCTTGTAAATTTATAATTTGCAAAAAACACTCACAAAGTTTAAAAACTTGTAAAAAACACCCTCAGGAGTTTAAAATTACAAAACAATCTCAAATTTTTCTAAACTTGCAAATGACACATGAAATTTGAAAAATTTCGGCTATCCCCTATAAATTTAAAATTTGTAAATAACACCCTTATAGTTTTAAAAATTGAAAAAACATCCTCGAGGGTTTAGAATTTCAAAACCCACTCTGAAATTTCAAAACCTACAAATGACACATAAAATCCAAAAACTACCAGCAGCCCCTAAAAATTTATAAATTGTAAAAACACCCTCAAAGTTTAAAAATTGCAAAAAATCCTCAAGAGTTCAAAATTAAAAAACAATCACAAATTTTTCTAAACTTGCAAATGACACATGAAATCTGAAAGTTTCCACTAGTCCCCTATAGATATAGAATTTGCAAAAAGCACCCTCAAAGTTTTAAAAAATGCGAAAAACATCCTTAAAGGGTTTAGAATTATAAAAACCACCCTGAAATTTCAAAACCTACAAATGACACATAAAATTTAAAAATTACCAACAGCCCCATGGAAATTTATAATTTGCGAAAAAACCCTCAAATTTTAAAAATTATAAAAAACACCCTCAAAAATTCAAAATTATATAAAACTCTCAAAAGTTACTAAACTTACAAATGACACATGAAATTTGGAAATCTCCAACATCCCCTTGTAAATTTGTAATTTTAAACCTTTGAGGGTGTTTTTTACAATTTTTAAAATTTGAGGGTGTTTCTTGCAAATTATAAACTTTTAGGGGGTTACTGGTAAATTTTTTATTTTATGTGTCATTTGTAGGTTTTGAAATTCAGAGTGATTTTTGTAATTCTAATCCCTTGAGGATGTTTTTCGCAATTTTTAAAACTATGATGATATTATTTGCAAATTTTAAATTTATAGGGGACTGCTAAATTTTTTAGATTTCATGTGTCATTTGCAAGTTTAGAAATTTCTGAGATTTTTTTGTAATTTTAAACTCTTGAGGGTGTCTTTTACAAGTTTTTAAACTTTAAGGGTGTTTTTTGTAAATTATAAATTTTAGGGGGCTGCTGGTAATTTTTGGGTTTCCATGTATCGTAGCTAGGTTTTGAAATTTCAAGGTTGTTTTTATAATTCTAAACCCCTGAGAGTGTTTTTCTCATTTTCTAAAACTTTGAGGGTATTATTTGGCAATTTTAAATTTATATAGGCTTACTGGAAATTTCATGATTTCATGTGTCATTTGTGAGGTTATAAAGTTTTGAGAATTTTTAACTCTTGAGGGTGTTTTTATAATATTTAAACTTCGAGGGTGTTTTTGCAAATCTCAAAATTTTAAGGATTGTTGGTAATTTTCTAGTTTTATGTGTGCTGATCATTAGTTTACCTTTAAGGTGTTTTCTATAATTTTAAACTTTTAAAAATGTTTGTTGTAGTTGTTGAAACTTTGAGGGTGTTTTTGAAAGAATACTCATCTAAATGGGCAAATGGGCAAATGGGCGGGTAATAGCCCGCCCATTTATGACCCATTTATCTTTAATAGAAACAATACTCACTCATTTATGACTCATTTAACTAAATGGGTGGGTTTGAATGGTTTATTTAGTGGGTGGGTATGGGTGGGCAAATGGTTTTGGGACAATTTTGTCATCCCTAGAATAAGCATATGTATTAATGATACAAACACTTGGCAACAAAAGTGATAGCATAATAGACATATGATAATATGAATAGGGAGCTTACTTGATCCATTCAGAATGGCAGCCATATTACGGGCAGCACCTCGTACAACAAGGCGAAAGTCCCTTTTCAGACCCACATATTTGGCATATTTCTGCGAAATCATCAACATCAGTTTCAACTAATAGATTTTTGTATGCTTATGCCAATATGCAGTCTTGACTCGAAAGTTGAATTTCACTACTCAAAGAGAATGAAAGAGAAAGAAGTCAGTTAAGACGAGTTTGTGGAGAGTGAAGATAAAGATAAATCGAAGGTAGCATTCTTGAAGACGATGACAATAATGGATCTGCAAAGGATAATAGATTTCTGTTAAATCGGTTTATTTTGTAGTTTCTATGAGTAGTTACCTTGGTTTAGGAAGTCAACATAATTATGATTATACGCCTCATATGTTGAATTGCATGTTCCATTTCTATTAATGACCTAATGCTTGTATCTTAAGTTTAACTACATCTTGTGATTATTTGGTTGTAAATGTAACTACTATACATAAGTTATCTTACAGCATGTGATATGATACTAAACGATATGATATATATGAAAAAGTAATTGATATATAAACCCAATTTGTCAGCTTTTGCTCGTACATAAGCAGAGATTTCAACTTCTACGCGGTAGTTTCATGATCTCTTCTTGGAAGTAGATCAGAGTATTTTAATTTATGAACACCATGCCTATGAGATATAGCGATAGACTAGTCTACATATTCTATTTTTCAATAAAAGAATGTTATAAATATGGCTCTCATGTAACTATAAAGTTCTGGACAGATATATAACAAGCTACCTTGTTAACAGGAGCCTCATTATCTCGAAAGACAGCATCATGTTCATCAATTTCCTGTCCAAATTCTGTCTTTAGGAGATCCCCTGAGTTTCCGACAACTGCACAAGTCTTAAACTGACGAGGGTGGAAAGGAGGCTTTGACGGTAAAATCAAATTGAGATGCTCCTCACACAAGGAATGGTTGTAGCATTTATCTGCACCTCTAAAGCCCAAAAGGAAGAGTTCCCTCTGATCATTAACTCGTCCATGATGCATTAGCTCAACATAAACCACACAAAAAAAAGAGTGGCATGAAAACTTGAAAGGCCTAATATCTTACAACTGGGCAATCCTCTTTGCAGCATAGTCTAACCATCCATCCGGTCTGACATCTAGATATTCCCTTGTTAAGACTGTTGTCATGTTGCGGTACTGGCAAGTTTAGTAGTATAAGTACATATGTTATCTAAGAGAATCAGAAAACAATCGAAGCAATAAAACTTGTTAGCCCTTATGTTTTGATGATGTTCTTACAACCACCATTATCGGTACTAATGGCTTATTGAGTGTAAATATAGTAAAATCATTTGTCAAGCTCGTTAGTGCCATTAACGGAGGATGGATGGAATATACGCTAAAACGAAGATATCTAAAGGAGGAGGAGGCCAAAAAGATGAAGCAACGTTATTTCAAGAACAACAAAGTCATATAAAAGCTTCATCCGATTCAAGCTATATCAAAGCTCAAGTATTGCTTTCAATATGAGGATATTAGCTATCTTTTATATTTCTCTCTAGTGCTAGAATGTAGGCAAAGAGTTACTGAGTTTACTTGAAGCTATTGGGAATCACACACACGTTTTTCAAACTTGTGTTTTTAAGCGTTTTTCACAAAATACTATTTTTCACAAGTATGAGTACTTATCTGCAAAATTCTTTTTCCAAACAGTTTGTTGTTAGTATTAAAAACATTTTACAAAGTTTCAGAATTTTCAGAGGTCAAACGAATATTTTGCAAATATATTAAGTTGGTCAAAAAACTGATTTTCAGAATATATCAGAAATCGGTCGACCGGTCCGGTCGCACTTATTAGTGATTGGCACAGTCTGAGGTCACAACCTGCAAAGTAGATTATCTTCCTAAATAGGAAGATTGGGTTTTTGTTTTTATTGATTTAAACTCTTTTATAAAAACCCCCAAGCCTGCTTCTTCTTCTCTAAGCCTAACGTTTGAAAGAGAACCAGAGAGCTCTGTTTCTTCCTGAGAAAATTTTCAAATCAAACTTGTTCTTCTGAGTTCTTGTGTGTGTTTCACTTCCCAGCTTCAGTACTCTTCTCTTTGCTATAGGGGCTTGTGTAAAGAGAGTGTCTTGCATTTATCTTCTGCTGCTGTGAGTGAGATCTTGTGTAGATCGACTGTGAGGGAGTGTGATCTGTGAGATCAACTGTGTAGTGAGAGAGAGATCTTGTGGGATCATTGTGTAGACGAAGTTCCGGCTTCCAAACCGGATGTGTTAGTGGATTTCTCCTCGAGAGTGGGGAGCGGGGACGTAGGTCAGCGGGCCGAACCTCGTTAACACATCGCGCGTCAAGGATAACGATTCCTAACTTTATCTCTTTCTTTATTATTGCACTTCTGTTACTGTGGTTTGTTTGTACTGTATTTTAATTGCATATTAGAGCCTCTTGACCCTAATCACCCCCCTCTAGGGTCCTACAAAACTAACCTGTTCCCACAATAGGATGGCCTCACAGACATCATAATGATATTCCAGGGGCTCATAAATTTTAAACTGTGCATTATACTGCAGATAAGGGGGAGAGAATCAACGTTAGATGAATAACATCAATTACAAAGTAACTTCTACACAGATTTGAATGAGAAAACAAGAAGTTAAAACCATGGAACAAAATCATGGAGTAGTTCTTGACCCAGTTACTGTTTGTGCCAGGTGGAAATTTGAGCACCAATTTACACTGATCAATGATATCTGCAGTCAGGCCAAGACCTCTGTTTGCCTAAAAAGAATTTGAAGTTAGTCATAATAGAACATGTTCTAGCTGCAACAAGATAGAATAATGTTAAGAAAAAGAGGTAACAATCAACTGATATTCTCTCTAACTACCACACATTGCTTGATTTTTATGCTTTCAGGCTTATCAATTTAAGTCATAACACTGATCAATGATATCTGCAGTCAGGCCAAGACCTCTGTTTGCCTAAAAAGAATTTGAAGTTAGTCATAATAGAACATGTTCTAGCTGCAACAAGATAGAATAATGTTAAGAAAAAGAGGTAACAATCAACTGATATTCTCTCTAACTACCACACATTGCTTGATTTTTATGCTTTCAGGCTTATCAATTTAAGTCATAATAGAACATGTTCTAGCTGCAATAAGATAGAATAATGTTAAGAAAAAGAGGAAACAATCAACTGATATTCTCTCTAACTAGCACACATTGCTTGATTTTTATGCTTTCAGGCTTATCAATTTAAGGATTGGAATGATATATTATGAACTCCCTCCCTCTCACAGTCGTACTTTAATTACTTTCGCGCACGCCTTACTGTAGGAATAAACCCGGCCGTGGAACCTACTGAGTATAGCACATTGTTTGGCTCAAACCACTGCCAAAATCGACTAGTCGACGCTACTTAAGTCTTAGCCTTATATATATAAACCGTTCAAACTTCTCAAACTTTCCCGATGTGGGACTAATATTCGGGGCACTACGACATTGCTCCTCATTCCTTTTAACCTTGTGAAGTAAAGTTTGCTAAGGGACACTTCAAAATATTCAACAATAGCTCTTCATTTCCAAAGCATGTAGTTTATATTCTATTTTGCAATTAATTTTCTAATCTTCACATTTCAAAAATAGAAATTTTTCATAAAGCCTATTACCTATCTACTTTGGATAGGAGTAAAGCACTTTGTTCGAGATCTACATAGTTCAGACTTACCACGCATCGCTGGACACGAGACTGGAAATGGGAGAGGGCTCGGGCATCTTCACTGTTGAGATCAGAGCTGCGATTTCCTGTGCAAACAAAATTAGGGCTAATTTGGTTACAGATAAATAATAATAATAATAATAATAATAATCGAACTGAGTCTTGATTGAGTAAGTTAATTAAGTTACGAGTGAAGAAAGAAGACTGGATGGAGATGAGGAGGACGGTGAAGAGCAAGGCGGCGCCGAGGAGGAGGACGACGGTGGGCTGTCGATGCACGGGCGAAGACGACGACGACGACGAGCTCCT